GTGGTCAATCACAATGCTGGATGTGCAGCTCACCTCCTGCCAGGGAGGCCACGGATGTCAAATTCACCGACACGTATTTTGGGAGGTGGACAATGTGGAAATCTGTTGGCATTCCAAGCCCTTCACAACCTGGGTCCCTGCTACCTTTGGGGTCTTCTTACCCTTCCTCCCCTGACCCCAAACTCTGCTCCAGCCAGCTTCCGCTGCTCCTGAACAAGTCTGTCCACCTCCCACCTCCCAGTATTTTCCCTGGTACTCCCCTCAGGGCTGTAATACTCTCCTTTTCCACCTTCTACAAGAAAACTGTCTCAATCACCCTCAGTTCCAGAGGCTTCCCTCTGTTAATTGTTGCCACTTTACTCTGTCTGTAGTTCACTTATACATGGCTGCTTGCATGCTGTCCTGTCATTAGATTGGGAGCATCCCGAGGGCAGGGTGTCTTTTACCATACTTTGTATTTCCAGCTCTTTATGAGGAGCCGGCGCACAGTAGGTGCTTAGTGGTGCTTGTTGGTTACATACTGTTTGATGATTGGTGAGAGGAAGTGGGGGGGGGACACACAATAAATATATGCGTACAAACTAAGAGAATTCCATGAGCACTGAAAACACCCACCACCCCCCAGGGGAACCCTTGGGCTGCCCACCCGCTATTTTTCCCCCTGCCCTGGGGCCATCCTAGATTTTTCATTCATCCATGTCCCTGACGACATCTGTTTACTCTTGCTCTTCAAAGTTCTAAGAAACCTACTTTAGCACAAGAAGGGGGGGGGAGAGGGCAGGGATGTATAGCCAGTGTGATCCAATGGAAAGTGCCATGTCTGTGGAATCAGAGGACTTGAGTTCCAATCTTGCCTCTGTGTGAGCTTGGACAAGCCTTTTTCCCTCCCTGACGCTGAGGGTCTTGGCCTCAACGGCTCCCAAGGACCCTTCCAGCCTTCCAGCCAAGATCCTCACTTGATTGTTAACCTCAATGAATCAGTCTCCCCTAGGAGAGAATCTGAGATTTCCACCCCGCAGGGAGACAGTGAACAAGTCGGGCTGCCTGGTCATGCCTTTCCTTGACTAAAGGTGCTCTGAGCAGCAAACCAGAGAGGGAGGAGAGTCGTCCGTGCCCATTCCATGACCACTCTACCATCTCCCTGTAAATGAATCATCCCCTTCTCTTACTGCTGAAAATGGCAGTGACTTCGGGGCTGGGGCTGGAGTGAGGGAGCAACCCACGGCCCAAGTCCTGCTGCCGATGCTGGTGTGACCTTGGGTGTGATCTGGGGCAAATCAAGTGACCCCTCCAAGCCTCTGTTTCCTTCAAGCTCTAATACTCACAGGGTCGTCATGAGGGCAACTTATGCCCAATACTACCAAGAGAAGAAATTTCTACAATGCTTTTAAGACTTGTGTGGCCCCACACACACACACACACACACACACACACACACACACACACACAACAAGCTCAGAAGAGCCAAAGCTAAACCATTTTTATTATATCTGAGCTTTCTTTAGGCATCATGGAGCCTTTTGGCAGTCAGTTCAGGGAAGCCTGGGGACCCCTCATCTGAATCATGTCGTTAAACAATTTCAGTGAGAGATTAGTGAAAACAAAGACAGAGTTTCTTCCCCCATCCAAATTCAGAGCCCCCAAATCTCTCCATTACCATAACGTTAAGCTGGTGTCTGAGCTGCTATCTTTGCCTGTGGGTCGTCAATGGAATTCCATGCTTGTTTGTTTTACATAAAGAAGCGCTTTCAGGGAAGCAGAGAGGTAGAGTCCCATCAGCCTAATCAAGGTGGGCGGAGGGGCTTCAGGTGAATGGAGGAACTGACAATCTGTGAGGTGTGCACCGGGCGGGAGGCGAGAGTGAGTTCTTACCCCACCCACTTCCAGTTTTTAGTGCAAGTAGGAGGGGAAAGAGGAGGAAGTGACCAAAAAAGGGAATTCCCCCGTTGGATAACCAGGACTTCTCTGCTAATCTCCTTTTGATTGCCACTCTTTAACCACACAGTTTGTCCTTCCTCTGCAATGGGACTAATGTTCTGTTTGAGAGACATCTGGTTGCTCTGTGATAAGAGGCTCACACACAAATCGTCCTCCTGATTTCTCTCTCTCCCCAGCCCACAAGGTCAGGCTGCCCCAGGACATAGTTGCCAAGCTGAGCCCAGGTGCAGGTGGAACTGAGAGGCAAGTTTTCCCCAGGATGTCCCTGGGCTTTCCTGGGCTGGATGGTGGTGAATGCTGGGAACAGGGACTCTCAGGGACAACCAGACCCTTCTCTCCTGAGGAGTGTGGGCTAGCTCCTTCAGTACCAACTGGCCCTGGCTGTGCTGGACTTCTCAAATTCTCCATGTCCAATAAAGAGCCCATTATCTCTCCTCCAGAGCACACCTCTCTTCCTAATGTCCCTATTTCTGCTAAGGGCACACTGTAATTCCAGTCACCGAGCTTCAGAAATCCCATCATCCACGCCGGGGATGGCTCCCACCATCTTTGCCTCCTTTGCTTCTATCAAATGCTGCTGAAGGGAAAGAAATCAAACTCATGCTGCCTGGGTCCACCATAAATACAACACGGCACCCCTTCTGCCCATCCCAGCAGCTGTTCTGAGCCTGTTCTTTCCTCCAGTCTCGCACACCACCCCCTCTCTACTGAAGGTCTTGCCTCATACTTTATGGAGGCTCCCATTTGCTGAGAGCCCCTTCTTTTCTCATCTCACCCCATCCTCCCACTATTTCCTCCTTCACACCTGTTCCTGATATGGCCCTTGTTTGCCAAGGCCAACCCATTTTCATCTAGGAACCTTGATCCTCTCCAGCAGATTCATTCCCTCCCTCCACCCCCAGTCCTCCTCACTCTAGCTTTAGTCTCTTCCTCTCCAGGTTTCCAAGACTCAGATCTCCTTGGGTTCCATTCTCCTGTCTAACCACTCACTCCTCCAGCCCTTGCTGGGTTTTCATCCACATCTGCCTGTCACTGTTGGAGTCCCCTGAGGCTCTGCCCTGGACCCTCTCATCTTGAGCTCAGCAGCATCCATTATTACCCTTACTGAAGCAACTCCCAGATCTGTGGATCTGGGCCATCTCATTCCTTGATCACCAGACTACCAACCCTGACTTCCCATGGGCCTCACAAACTCACTCATTAAACAAGTCTTCCCTCAAGCTCCACTGCTGTTGAAGGGAACACAACCCTTTAAGTCACTCAGCTCTGAAACCCTTTGTGTTGTCTCCCTATTAGGTGACCTCCTTACTCTTTGTATCACCATCATGAAGTCCTTTGCACACAGTAAGTGCTTAATAGATGTCATTCATTCACCCAGCTCTTCTCCTCCATGCACTGAGACCCAGCCAATCCAGCTTTTTCCCAAGTGAATTATGCCCTGCCCCCCATCCTCCCCCATGGTATCAATTGCCCCAAAGTGCTTGGTCCCCACTCTGAAGAATCCTGTGTCAGTGAGGTCAGTTGTGGCACTCACATGACCTCCCCAGAGGTGCCCACATACCACCATTTGGGCACCGTCTTGGGATATCCTTGGCACTGGCCAGGGCAAGACTAAGGAATTTTGGCTTTGGTGTGGCTAAGGTTGTCCTGCCTCTGGCTATCAGCCAACCAGGACTCAGAAAGCCTCCTTCTAATGACCTCTGCCCTTGGAGCTCTCCCCAGATGCAGGTGCAGGTGTGGTGACTGCACCTATTCCCCTCCCCCACTTTGGACTGCTATCTGGGATGGACATTCTCCCCCAAGGTTATCTTCTCCAGTTTGAGGGCTAATCCCAGGCAATGAGCAATCAGGTTCCCAGCCCCACCCTAGGTTGGCTCTCTAACAATTCTTGCGCCCTTAACAAGCAAGGGTTACCAAGAAGGGGTTGGAAACACAAGTCAAAATAAAGCCTGTTTCCAGTGGTGCCATAAGTTGTGGTCCCCTCAGCAGCCAGCCATGCTAGACTCTGAAAACAGTCTGGTCCAGAGGTGAGGACCCTGCAGCCTCGAGGCCACATGTCGCCCTCTAGGTCCTCAGGTGTGGCCCTTTGACTAAATCTAAACTTCACAGAACAAATCCCCTTAATAGAAGGATTTGTTCTGTCAGACTTGGACTCAGTCAACAGGCTGTACCCAAGGACATAGAAGGCCACCCCTGGTCTGGGCTGGGGCCTAGGAGCTGGGCCTTCCATCTGCCCTGCAGGAGGAGAGGCCCCAGGGCAGTCTCGGCAAATGCTTCTTGGCTGACATGGGATTGTGCAGTAAACCACTCTCCGGGCCTGGCACTGTGGGCGAGGGGAGGACAGAGTCCAGGCAATCCTCAGAAGCTTCTTAACCCTGGGGAGGCGGGCCCACGTGGAGTCAGTGACAGACACAGGGAGCTCAGAGACGGGGGACGTGAAGCTTGGGTAGATACAGCTTGAGTTTAAAGGGCTGGGAGCTCAGGGCAGCAGTTACAGGTTTGAGTGTTACCCGCATGGAGAGCCCTGTTGGAAACTCATGTTGAGGTGGGACCACCAAGCAGAAAGCGCAGAGGACAAAGTGGGCCCGGAAGGACTCCTACGGAGCAGGAAGGAAGATGCAGATCCTGTAGAGGGGATGGAAGAAGGGGCCAGAGGGCAGCAGTGCCAGCAGGCAAGGAGGTGGTGCCCCCCCCCCCCCCCCCCCCCCCCCCCCCCCCCGCCAGCTGCAGCACTATCCAGGAGGAGGAGGACTCCCTGAGGGCAGGAAGGATCTTGTCTTTAATAAGGATGGAAAGTGTGTTGGCCTTGGGAGTCAGAGACTGCCCTTGAGAGCTGTCACCCTCCCTCGGGGCCTCAGCCCTTACATCTGTGAAATGAGAGACCCACCCTGCACGATGATGGATTCATGTGAGGAAATGGCTTTCAATGTTGGGACAACCACCAGAGGAACAACTAGATGGCGGGTGTGTGTTAAGAAGCTGGTTAGTGATGTTCCCATAAAGCCGCAATGGAAACAGTTACTTTAATTGGTCTGTTATAGAAAGACTTCGCATACTGCTTATAACTTACAAACCAATAAACTTTAATAACTTTATACAAATTATGAATGACTCAAAAGTACTTACAAAAACCCAAACTTTTAAGGCACAAAATAGTAACAAAATAGAGAACATTTCCAATTGCAAGGCAGCCGTTTTGAAGTAGCCAGTTTAAAAGCTGGCCTTGTAGCAAATTCGATGTTTATTCAACAACAGGGGGGAAGGTCTGAACGCCGGGTACCTGATACCACAGAGGTGCGGTCACTTCAAAAGTCTGAGAAATTCATGATTTGCATACAAGCATTATTAAAGAGTGGGTCGGCAATGGTAGCATTTTACAGGATGCTGACAGATGCTGGGCTCTCTCTCCTACTCGAGGCGCCCCCAGCCCCCACCTTCTCCCTTCTGGGGAATTTACCGGATCACAGGCTCCAATCAAGGAAGCTGCACGTAGATGGAACCCAACAGGACCCATTCACTCAGTCACACCAGCTGTCTACACTGGCCAATTCAGTCAAATTACATCGGAAACATTCTAAGAAGCCTGACAAATCAACAGATTTAAAAATAAATTAAAGAGGAAAGAAAACACTGGGAAGACTCCATAATACTGAGGTTCCAGACAGTGGGAATGATCCTAACTTTCAGGGTTGCCAGAGGACGGGAGGCCCAAGAACAAACAGCTGAAAACAGGGGATTCTGCTTCTTTTCTTTAGCATTTCTAATGCGTTGTAGGAAACTGACCTTGGTTTTAACACAAATATACATTCAACTTTAATCAGTTTAAAGTTTGGGATCATCTGAAAAACAAAAAGTCCTTTCAGAGTAAGCCACCTCTCCACTGACACCACCTGCAACGGGGAAAGTGTCTAGAGGCAAAGCAAAGCGGGTCTGAGCACCCTGGGCAGCCACACCTTCCCTTCCCCCCTCTCAGAAAACAACAGCAGGGTCTTCTCACTGACCGCCACCCCATGCTGATCAGATCATACTGACCCCCTACCCAGGGACATCCTCTAACCCACGACTGGCAGCTTTAGGGAAGATGCGCTTTGGTTTGTCTGAGGGGAAGGGAGGCGAGGCGAGGCGAGGAGAGCGACGCTGTGGGCCTCCCGAGACAACAGCATCAACCCTGTCTCTCAACCCAGAGTGGAACTGCCACCCGACCTGGCCAAGGAGGAAGGGAAAAAATCTCAGCAGGGTTCCTCATTGAAACAGTCTGACTGCAGGAAAAAACAAACTAGGAGCAGCCCCCCCAAACCCAACTGGCCACCGCTCTAACTCTCAGAAAAAGGACCCAATGAAGGCCTGGCGCCTTTACATCAGATTAAGGTCCTAAGACAGGTCTAAACTGAAATGGACTCCCTCAAGCCCAGAGCAATGCCTATGGGCGGCGCACGTGTCTGAGGCACCAGACGCTCCCCTAGAAAACAAATGCTTTTGTACAGAGTCTTTGGGAGAAAGAGCAGGACAAGTCTATTAAAAACAAAAGTGCAAACACCAGCCCCCTGCGACAGACTCAGTGAGCGGACACCTCCGCTCGCTGAGCATGGTCCAGTCGCCGGCACAGCCGCCCCAAGCTTCACTTGACTGCCCTCTGGGCTTAGGAGACCCCTCCTCAGGACACTGGACATCTGGGCGCAGGTCTATAAGTGACACAGGTGTTTCTGAAAGGATCCCTAAACCTCAGACCCTGCTCAGTAGATGAAGTCTCCGGGCATTTCCTGAAGCAGCGGCAGTTCCTCGAATTTGAACCGCTTGGAGATAGCCTTGGGATCCCTCTTCTCCTTCTCCGATTGGCGGCAGGGCCCCAATGTATAGGAAGCCACCACAATCAGCTCTTCCGTTTCTGGCTTCTCGGCCTCGGCCGGCGGCTCGGGCACAGAAGCTTCCTCTTCCTGGGCGCTGCTGGGCTCTTCCATTAAACTCTTGCCCCGGAAGGGAGGCTCTGGGCTGCTGTCTGGTGCTAGCCAGGGATGTCTCAGACATTCCTCGGCGGTGGCCCGATCCCTGCATCAACCAACACCAAAATATCACTCACGCTAGCTTACGGGGATGCACCTGCCAGTCAGCAGGGCCTGGGGCAGAAGTGCGATGGTCCCCAAATGTAGAGGACTGAATCACTGCAATGATGTACGTTTGCACAGACTTTCTCAATGACTAAGACCTTTTACATCCAAGAGAAACATCCCTCGGTGACAAGGAGGCTGGACACCCCCGTACTCAAACCCAAACTCCTCGCCAGTTATCTTTGAGAAGTACAGACACTGGGCATAGACTGACCAGCTACGGGCTACTGGAAAACTGACCACCGTCCAGCAGACATCACCCCAAATAAGCTGTACTTACGCGGGCTTCTTAACTAAGAGAGCTTTGATGAAGTCGACGGCTGCCTCTGACACAGCCTCAAACTCCTCCTCTGAGTAACTGATATTCATCTGGGAGATATTCAGGAAAGTCTCTTGTTTATTGTCCCCCAGGAAAGGAGAGATCCCCGTCAGCATGACGTAAGCCAAGACCCCAATACTCCTGATGCAAAACACAAAGGAAGAAGGCCATCAGAACCTCGGTGCCTGAGGAGATGGAACAGAGCGCAAACCACCCGGTGCCCCCAGCGTGCTCACCACATGTCAGTTGCCGTGCTGATGGGATCATAGCTAAGGATTTCTGGGGCTAGGAGAGAAAGCAGAAAAAGAAGCCGTTACAAGACCAGAGCTCCCACAGTCCAGAGCGGGCGGCCACAAGCAACCATCTGTGTCCTTTAAAATTCCAGCAAACAGAGGATGCCTCTCTCCCCCACCTCAAGCCTGACCAGTTGCTGCAGACAGCTACTTCCAGTGCGGCCAAACTCAAATCTGGGTGGGAGACGGCTCCACAACCCTGGAGGAGGGTCTTTCCTGTAAGATTTCTATGGGAGAATCTGCCGCCTGCGCCGCAGAGAGGCCTCGTCTGCATTCATTTCCTGGGCTCAGTTAGAGGCGGAGTCCCGCTAAGATGCCAGTAAGAGTCACCATGTGCTGGTGGACAGCCAGAGCCAAAGCCCTCTGGGCTTCACCCCCACACCACACACGCTCATGGGGGAGTCTGCCTTCATTCTGAGCTTGCTCAAGGCTAAAGGTCTAAACCACCCCAGAGAGACCTTAAAAATGGTCCTGAGGGATAACTCAGATTCGCTCTGCCTGTGTTAGCTCCTGATCAAGGAGCTACTTGAAACCACAGGAAGAATTTCTGAAATTCTTTCCATCCTTTAAATTCCCTTCCCCCTCCCAAGCCTGGATAAAAATCAGTAGTGAAGATAAGAGAGAACCTGGGCCTGGCAGGGAAGGCTCTGGCTTAGCTGCACCTCCCCCAGGCCACTCAGGAAGCCTGCAGAAGCCTGCTACCTGCGGAGATTCAGTGGACAGCCTAGGAGAGCCCATTGGAAGGTAATGGGGCTTTTAATAGCGCCATGGAACATTCAAACGAGGTGCAGAATCATTCCAAAAAGAATACTTGGAATGATTTTATGAACTATTACTGAAGTTAAGATGAGCATTTCATAGGCTACCATATCACCTTATGGTACAAATTATTTGTTCATGAAATGCCAATCCTGAAGGCCCTCCTGTGCTGCTCCAGCCTGGACACACAGACAAGGGCTCCTATACCATACAACCCTCACCATCACGTCACACTCTTCTAATGCTAGGACCTTAACCTCAAAACTCCTCTTTCAGGTAAAATTAAGATGTCAGGAGGACCCTGAGTTCAAATCTCGCCCCATTAGCTGTGTCCCTGAGCAAATCACTTCACTCCAATGACTGCCACTCCCTGCCTCCCCCCTGCAAGACCAGCAGGCTGATTCTCCTGGACCCGTCCTTGATCCAGTGATCTTGGTGTTCCGGCTGTTCGGCCCTGGGTGTTCTCTCCGGTGACCCTCCCCCAGTGCCTCAAACACTTCCTCCTCCAGGGTTCCTGGGCTCCTTCAAGCCTCAACCAAAATCCCACTTCCTATGGTGAGCATGCCCCCGGCCACTCTTCTGAATTCCAGGGCCTTCCCTCTGCTCGTCATTGACCCTTAATCCTGCCTGCACGTTTGCTGGCTAGCTGTCACCCCGTTAGACTGGGAGCGTGCCAGTGTGCCGAGGGCAGGGACTGTCTCCTGCCTTTCTTTGCATCCCCATGAAGCACAGTGCCTAGAACATAGTAGGCACTTAATAATGTTTACTGAGTGACTGTCCAACCTGGGACAGATAATTTATTTCCTTGGGCCTCAGTTTTCTCTTCTGTGAAATGGGGGGGGAGTGGTAACTTCCTCAGAACCCCTCCCCCTGCTGAATACTCACCCACATATTCCGGTGTTCCCATAATTTCTCTGAGCTCCTCACTGCTCTCCATCATTCTCGAGAGGCCAAAATCAACAATTTTAATATCACCCAATGGACATTCACTTGTCAGGAGAATATTCTGGGGCTAAAACAAACCAAAAAATCCCCAAATACATCATAAAAATAAAGATCTGATGTGTAAAGCGACAGCCAGCTTGCTCTGCATCAGATCAGTCCCCAAGGAAGCGATTCTTTCACAACTTATAATACCTGGTACCGTGAGGCCTGCAATGCTCAACCCTGGGAGGGGGATGCTGGGACCGGCTCCATTTTACAGACCAAGAGACCAAGGTTCCAGGAGGGGGCTGCAGGCACAGTAGCACCCACATCCCCCCATCTGAAGCCCAAGGCCAGCAGCAGCTCCACCACTCTCCCTCTGAGAACACCAAAGCGGGCTGTCCCTGGCACCTTCCCCCAGCACTTAGCACTAAATGTGCACTGACCCTGGGTGGGGAGCACACCCATTAAAGTGAGCCCGGCCCTGCTCTCTAATGGGAGGGAAAACACCTGGGGAAGGTCCCAGGGCCCTGACGGGGCAGCCGCAGAGCAGGGGGTTATTCCCCATTGAGAATCACAGCAGTTCCTGACGTGGAGCCACTGGACAGGGCCTGGGACTCTGGTGACCAAGGCTTCCTTTTCCCTGCAGCCCCTGTAAGAGCAGAGCCCAGGCTGCATCTTCCCTGGGGCACTGGGCTGGAAGCCTGGTTCTTCCCAAGGTTCCTCAGCTGTCTCCACTGGGGTCTGAGGGGAGTGCTGGTGCTGACCTGTCCGGCACATGCCACTTCAGCCAGGCTGGCCCATCTGCCCTGTGTCAGCAGAGCCTCAGGGCACCGAGCTTCGGGGGCTGTGCTCTCCCCCTCCTGACTAGCCATGCAGCGGGGGACACGGCAGACATGGCACTGGGCCTGTCACCTCCTCCCTCACTGGGTTGTTGTGACAATCGAATGATGCTCTTTATCAAAGTGCTCAGCACACACAGTGCCTGGCGCAGAGCAAGCATTCTAAGAAACACTGTTTCTCCCCCAAGCCTCCCCTCAGTTTATTTGTGAAGCTGGTTTTTAACCCTGAATTTCCCCCGTTTCGATTCAGTCCCACATTGAGATCCTGGTTGCCGCCTGCCACAGGCAGGCCACACTTCCACAGAGGCCATCTGAACCTACCCTGGGCCCTGGAGGAGGCTGCCTCAGGGCCCTGAAGCCCTCAGCCAATGAGAAAGCTGCAAATGAATTAACTTTACTGACATGGTGAGTGGCGGGGGCAAAGGGGCTTTTATTTCTCATGCAATGGCTCTTTATGGGAAATGTCTTCTTTTGGAAGGATTTACTGGTCGTCTCTGCCTCCTTGAACAATGTATAGCATCTCTAATCAAAACCCCCACAGAAAAGTACTCTTCATCTGGCCTGGATTTCACTTTCAAAAGCAAAGACAAAGTATGAGAAGGGAGGCACATTTTCTGCTCTGGAAATTCTGGAAGGACTTATTCCAGTCCTCAAAGTCCCCCGCCCCCCAACCCAAAAGCCACCTAGGCAGTGGGGGTGGGGGGATAAAGGGCCTGTACCAAGGAAATGCCCCTTGAAGAGTTACCCTCTGGAGCCGGGGACCCAGGGCCAGGCCAGACCTGGCGGCGGGCACTGGGGAGCCCACTTCATAGCTGGGTAACTCTAATGCTCCCTAACTGCTTCTGCCAAGGGCTCAGAGCCCTGCCCTTGGGGCCTGCTCATCTCACCAGCTGGGGGTCTCCAATTTTACCTCCTTCTCTGCTCTTCTACCACCTGCTTGCCAGCGACCTCTCTAACACCACTCACAGCTAAAACGCCCTGGTGGTGGCAGGGCACAGTTTGCCAAGCCCCATGCCCTCAGTGCCCACGTGGGCTCTCTCTTAAGTTTACCCACATCAGATCCCACCCAATCATTCTCACTTGGAGACCTCCAGAATTGTCTCCTTGGCTGCAAGTGTAGTCAGGGTGTCATGGGTGCTTTGTAGACATGGCACGGTGCAGGGGGCACCATCTGGGCAGATCTGGGGGTCCAAGCTGGGCCATCTCCCGCCAGACACCACAGAGTGAGTGCCATAGCTTCTCCCCCAGGGGAGCCTCATCTTTCTTTAACGGAAGGGTGGTGTGCCTGCCTCATCTTCCCCTCCGACTTTTTTCTAAACAGACTTTTGGAAATGGGGAAGCCAGCCTGACTTTACCAACAGGTGACCTCCTACCCCACAGTGGAGCCTAAGCTTTGCAGCAACGTCTAGCCTGGGCCTTCCCATTCCTGCTGGGCCCCCGGGAGCCATCAGACACTTCTACAACACTAGCTTCAGGAAGGTCCCAGGCAATCAGCCAACAGCATTCATGAAGTGCTGGCTGTGTGTGTGTGTGTGTGTGCCTGGCACTGTGCTAAGGGCTGGGGTACAAAGGAAGGCAAAGGGCCCCCCCATCCCTTCCCTCCAGCTCAGTGGCTGAGCGGAGGGAGCCCAGGCAGGAGGCGATGAAGGGGCAAGTGAGGTGGGAAGAGGGGGACGTCAGGGTGTCCAGTCCAGGGAGACCGAGCTGGGTTTGAGGGAAAGAAAACGAGTTCTGCTTTGTTGTACCAAGCAACTGTGACGAGGGTGTGGGGCTGGGTGCCCCCAGCCTGAGACCCACAGCCTCAGAGGCACCCAGGGTCAGCACCAGGAGAAGCTGGGTTACAGAAACCCAAGAAAGGCCACCTCAGGGGCCATGGGGTCCGAGGTGTCATGAGTTTGAGAGGATTGAAAAAAGGCCTTGTCATCAGGCAAATGAGACATCTTTCGAGGGCGGCTCAGGGTGAGAGAGTTTTCTCAAGGAGTTTAGCCCCAAATGGGCGCGAGACAAAGGATAATTTCAAGGATGGCCAATCGAGAGGGGGCTGTTGGTTTTGAAAGGATGAGGGGTGTTTGGAAGCAGCAGCCAGTATTCTGGGAGACAGCAATGGTCAGTGAGAGGGTGGGCATGACAGGGGGGGCAAAGGGCAGGATGGGAGAGGAGTCAGAGCAGGGGAGGCCAAGGCTGAACAGCAGCTGGGGGGAGGGGGCCTCCCTTCCTGGCCACAGCCTCCACCAGTTCCTCACAAAAATCAGCTTCTACATTGCCCAAAGAGTGGCAATAATCTCTTCTTAAAAAAAAAAAGAAAATAAACAAATGACATTTGCCTTGTTTTTCTGGCAATAGAAAGAGATGACAAGACTAATGAATCATTTACCCCACTTAAAGGATCCCCCCTCTCGGCCCCCTGCACTGTCCAGTAAAACCACCATTTTGAAAAAGTCTGCCGTGACCCACCGTGCTCCACACTCATGGTCCCCCACCTTGGACCAAAGGGCTGGGGAGAGAAAACACATGCCCTTCCGATGTTTTCATTTCACCCCCTCCCTCTTGCCCAGATCTCGGTGCATTCAGCCCTGTTGTCAGCCCTTGGGCAAGCCCCTCCCCTTTGATGCTGGGTCCCGCCTCACAGGACTTGTGATACCTCTTTAAACCACAAAGCTTTGGCCCCTCACTTCTAACATTGCTCACACAAGCACCATCAGCAGCCTTCTTGCCCCAAGCCTTTCCAAGACCACTAAATGGGAAGAAATCGCAGTAACAGGTGGCACTGACAGCTCCCACTATGTGCCCAATGCCGGGCCAAGACCTTGATAATATTGTCTCACTGGACCCTCACAACTAACCTGGGAGGCTACTATATGATAATCCCCATTTTACAGCTGAGGAAACTGAGGCAAAGAGAGGTGAAGTGGCTTGCTCAGGGTCACACAGGGAGGACGTGCCCAAGGCTGGGTTTGCCCTCAACTCCTGCCACCACCCCTGTGCCACGGCAGAGCTTCCTGAGGGCAGGAAGCATTTTACTTTTCCTTGCATCCTTGGAGCTTAGCACAGTGCCTGGCACACAGAAGGTGCTTAATAAATGCTTAGTGACTAACTGTCTGATTGAGTTCTCATGTGTGGTTCTAATCCAGAGCTTATGATTACAAGCAAATGCCTGGAAGAGGGCTTCCTGGAAAGCCCCTTTGTTCTCCCAGCTCCCTTCTGTTGCTGCTGCTTCTGCTTCGTCACCAGGGCCTGTGGCTACTGAGGCTTAGACTGATGCCGCAGATGCATCGCTTGATACCAAGGCCTCAGGAGAAGTCGGTCTGAGAGGGTGAAGACTCTTTGTAAACCAAACCATGGTCAGCTCCTTTCTCATAAACACACACCACAGGCCAACAAGGACAGACAGGGAGGCCTCACAGCCCTTGTCACCCACTTCCACTACAAATGACATTTTCATTCCATCCAATGTGGCTGGCCCGTTCATGCTCTCTGCCTCCAGCCCACTCCCCCGCCCAAACCTGGTGGTCCCTGCCCTGCCCAGGAGCTTCCTCATTCTCCCCCCACCCAAGGTCCTCTCTCTGCCCCCTGACCTGGTTCACACCCTCCTCACCTCCTACCCAGCACATTCCCAGAATCTCCTACAAGTATCTCCCCTCTATAATCTGCTTCACACTCCAATCTAAATCTGACCACGTCCTTCCCTGCCCCATCACATCTAGGCCCCCTCTGCACTCACTGGAGTGCAGCCACACTGTCCTCCTCACTGGCCTCACACATGCCACTCAATCTACCCCCACCATTTTCACTGGCTGTGCCCCAAGGTGAATGCACCCCCTCCATGCTTCTATCACAACACCCAGCTTCCTTCAGGGCTTAACTCAAACATCCCCTAGTACATGAGGCTTTTCCTGATTTTGTCTCCACCCCCAAATCGCTAGTGTCTCTGCACAAAAGAATTATCTTGTATCCATTTTGTACATAGTAGGTCTAAGATCTGTGGAAACCCATGGTGTCTGCCCCTGGACAACAGGGCCCTGTTTTCACTTTTCTTTACACTTTAGCTCCTAGAATAATGTTGGGCGCATAGCAGGCATTTAATAAATGTTTGTTGGTTATCTGTATGACCACCTAGCAATCGATCAACATTTATTAAGCACCCTACTATGTGCCAGGCACTGTGCTAAATGCTGGGGATACAAAAAGAGGCAAAAGACAGTCTCTGCCCTCAGGGAGCAGACAGTCTAACGGGGCAGACAACAAGCAAGCCAAGGCAAGCTGAGTACCGGACCGACAGGAGATAATGAACAGAGGGAAGGTGCTGGAATTAGGAGGGGGGTAGGGAAGGTTTCCTGGGGGAACGGGGACTTCAAGGAAACTGAGGGGATCAGCAACGGAGCAGGCCTGGGGCACATCAGACTGAAGGCCTGGAGCCCAGAGATGGTGGGTCTTGTTCACTGGAGGACGGGGCGTCACTGAATGGAGGAGAGTAAGGTGTGAGAGGCCCAGGGAGGCCAGAAAGGTAGGAGGGGCTGGGTCATGAAGGGCTTTGAATGACAAGCAGAGCATCTTATATCTGCTCCTAAGGGGGAAAGGAGGCCACTGGAGAGGCCAGCAGACTCCCAGTAGCTACTGCCATAGGCCAGGAGGGAGGAGAGGAGGGCCTGCAGCACAGGAGAGAAGGGGGCGTATTCAGGAGATGCTGCAAAGGTGAAATGGACAGAGTTTGGCACCATACTGAATAAGGGGGTGGGGTCCAGGATGACTCCTAGGGTGGGAACCTGGGGATCTGGGAGGAGAGCGTTGCCCTCTAAAGACATGCGGAAAGAGAATGAATTCTGTTTTGGACACATGGGTTTAAGATATCTACTGAACATCCGGCTTGAGATGTCCGAAAGGCAGTTGGAGATGTGAGACTGGAGGTCAGCAAAGAAGCTGGGGCAGGAAGGGAGACCTGAGGATCACTAGCACAGACACGGTCATTAAATCTGATGAGCTGAGATCACCCAGTGAAGCAGGAAGGAGAGAAGAAGAGGACACAGCAGGACAGAACCCTGAGGACCCCCGCGGTTACACACGGTGGTCTGGAGGAGGACCCAGCAAAGGAGACAGAAGAGAAGCCGTCAGGGAGGGGGAGGTGTTAAGAACCTGGAGAGGAGAGAGAGTGACCAGCAGTGTCCAAGGCTGCTGAGAGGCTGGAGAAAGGGCCACTGGATCTGGTAACTAGATCGTTAGTAACTTTGGGGAGAGCAGTGTTGGTGGAATGACAGGTCAGAGCCGGACTGTGCAGGGTTAAGAGGAGAGAAGGTGGGGCACCAATCACAGATGAGGTGTTTTGCATCAAGGTCTGGTCCCTAAGTAGGCTCTCAGACCACACTGGCCCCCTGTGCCTTGCCTGGAGCATCCCACGAGGGCATAGGCCACGTGGCCTTGCCAGTCTCCACAATGAAGTTTGTAAGAAAATGAAGCCTCACCTTCAAATCAAGATGAACCACGTTGTGGGCATGCAAAAAGGAAACGCCTTCTACAATCTGCCTCATGAGTCTCTGCACATCCTTCTCTTTAAAGGCGTCTTCTCTCTCAGCTACACACTGGTCAAAAATCTCGCCTCCAGCAGCACTAGGGTAAAACAACAGTTAGCGCAAATACAAAACCAGTGTTTTCCTATTTAAGTGGTGCAAACATTCTGACATAGCAGACTACTATTTTGAAGGGATTTTAAAGTACAAAGTAGAATAATTAATTTGTTTAGATTTCTTTGCAATCAAAATGGGCAATTCTAAAAAAGAGATGTTTTATATTCTGATGTCTCTCTTTTTTTTTTTTTTCCTAAAGGCAGCTGGGGTTAACCGACTTGCCCAGCTAGTAAGTGTCAAGTGTTTGGTCTGAGGGCAGATTTGAACTCAGGTCCTCCTGGCTTCAGGGCTGGTGCTCTCTCCACTGCACCACCTAGCTGCCCCTAGTTTATATTCTGAGAAGGCAGTTTTAACTATACAATTCAAAATGACAGTCATCAATGAGCCTATTGCTACATCCTCAAGCAAAAATGACATGTTTCAAACCAACATAATCTACACATTGTGACCCCAACCCTCATCTGGGCAGTCATACTTTGCATCTGAAGGCAAATCACAAGGAGAAGCCAAAATAATCTTGGGCCCAACCAGAATCACGTTCTTTTTCACAATAAAATAAAGGTGTGGTTCCTGTTGCCATAGAAAGGACCCTTGACTTGGGGAGGACCAGATCTGAGTTTGGGTCTGCAGGCAGCCACCTGGGAAGCCTGAATGATTGACCAGGCTTCCAAAGGACTTTGTAAGCATCAAGCATCATGTAGATGGAAGAGGGCAGCGTCATTACCACACTGGTCTAAAAAGAGGCTATTCTCTTAAATTCAGATTTATTTGAAATGAAAAAAAAAAGTTACGCAAAAGTGTTATGGACTGAAAAACAACTGTATTAACTACAAAGGTGACTATTTGGAAGAAATTTTATATTTTTCTACAAGAAAGAAGGTTTTACTATATAAAAATTTAAGGCATCATAGCAAGTTAAAGGAAATCCAGAAAAGACATAATTTTATAAAGGAAAAACAATTTTTTTCCCATGGTTAAGGGGGCGCCCTCTTACACCATCTCAGGAAGTTACAGGTGGAAGGACCTCAAAGATCATCCCCTTCTACAGAGGAAGAGGGGGAGATGACAGGGTCGAGGTCCAGCAGGCAGGAGGATGCACCATCTCCGCTGACTCGGGGATTTCCCACTCATCTCGTTAGTCCCTTTTTCTGAGAAATCTTACCAAACAATTTCATAAAATACACTAGCTGGAACCCTCCCTTCTTACTAAGTGGTGATACTTTCCACGGAGAATTCCCTACGACTGCTGCCACCGCTGCCTGTGCGACCCCTCCCACGGCACCACTGCTCTGGCCCCAATTCTTACTGCCTTGCCAACACCAGCCAACAAGCCAGCATTTCAAAGGAACACCTGCTGCTTCTCGAAAAATTCGGAGTAAGCAGAGCAGGACTCACGGGAAAAGAGACATCCTGGGAAGAAGTAAAAATGGGAGTTTGATGGAATTGTTTAGAAAAGACATTTGAAAATGCTGCTTTGTCAAAGACCTTGAAAAATCCTACCTTTTGGATCTAATTTTCTTCCACAGTAGCATGGTCCCCGGGCACTAGCAGTCTCTATACCCTGATGTGCTCCTCCAAATTTACATTCAAAGCTTGTCAAACCATGTCAAGAAGCATTTTAAGCCCCTACTGTGTGCCAAGCACTGAGCCAAGTGCTGGGGACACAAAGAATGGCAGAACAGCAGTGCCTGCCTTCCAGGAGCTCCCAGTCTAATGGGGGGAGGGGCACACAACAAGCAAACTACGGGCAGGATGGGGGGGGCAGGGGGTGGGAGCTGGTCTCACAGGGGAGGCACTAGAAAAGGCTTCTGGCAGAAGGTGGGATAGCAGCTGGGACTGGAGGGAAGCCAGGTTGAGATGAGGCCTGGGGATGGGCCCAGAAGGCTTATGGGTAGTTCAGAGATGGAGAGCGGAGTGAGAGAAACAGCCAGACTGTGGAGCCCTCACAGAGGAAGGGGCCAGGTTCTGCCGCCTCATCTTGTTTACCTTAAGCTCCGTTCAGATAAATCCTTGGAAGCGGAGTGAGATAAAAAGCGAGAGCCTAATCATCCCAAACAGAGAGCTCGGGTCAGGAGAAGTGAGAGCCCACAGAGGCCATGGTGCTGCGTGAGGCTGGAGGGAGGTACCAGGGGCACCCGAGACTGACTCAGGCCCCAAACACAGAAAACAGGCAATCTGCTGGCTTTTAAACTACAGGGGGAGCAGTGCTCACGTCCCCTCCTCTAAGCAGAGCCCTCAGGCCGATCACCTCTGCACCAGCATCTCCTCCCCACGGCCAGCTCCTAGAACACAGGTTCCCGATATTTTATGTGTGCACAAGCGTGTGCATGGCTATGTGTATGTCAGATGGACCTCTTGGACAGTCTGGTAAAACTGCATAATTCAATAAATGAAAGCAATTTCAGGTAGGAGTTTAAGATCAAGACATGATTTTCCCCTCAATACCAGTTTATGGACCTTAAAACTATCCATGGCCTCCTGAAGCATCTGTAGATGCAAGGATAAGAAATCCCCGCCTTAAAATGAGAACGCAGGATTCTAACGACCTTGGGGACAGTATCAAAGGCAGGAGGAGGAGGTGGAGGCCTGGGTAGACAATCTTAGGACTATTTCTGTTACAATGTTATCTGGCACTAGAGCTTTCCCAAGGAGGGATCCCTGTAGAGACTCATGTTGCAGAAAATTCCCTGGTTCCTGACTACTCCCATAGCCCTGGGTTATCTGGGTTAGCTCTTGAGCTTCCCGTCATATGGAGACCAGTTAAGGAAATTAAAGAAGGCTCGGTGGGACCATGCTGGCCGCCTTCAAGTCCCCAAAGGGCTGACCTCCCCAGGAGGGGACAGGCTAGTTCTGCTGCGTCTCAGGACAGAGCAAGGAGTAAAGAGCCAAAGCAGCAGAGGAAGATTCAGACTTGATGTCAAACTTCCTAACAATAAGAGCTTGACATCCTGGTGTGGAGTGGGCTGCCTCTAGAGGCGGTGCCTCTCCCTTTCTGGAGTCTGCAGGCAAGGCTTCCACGGATGGGCTGGACTAGAGGGCCCTTCCAACTCTCCAATTCGGTGCTTCTGACCGCCCAGCGTTTGCAAAACTGTCCTCTCTCCCATGCTCCCGTTCTGTAACGGGAAAAGAGGAAGACCGTGTGTCTTGGAGCCTGCCTGAAGTCGATGGAGAACCTTCTGGAAGGGAACGGGCCACCCCCATCGCTGTCCTGTTCACCCTTGTTCTCTGTACGCTCAGTCGTGCAGAATGGAAAAAGGCGTGGACATGACAGACACAAGCCTCTGACTGTGTGAGGACGTTTCTCATGTGTGGTGCCCATGGCTCAGCTTGTGAAGAATGTCTACTACTCCAAGCACCCTTACGCTGTGTAAGAGAAAGCATTAAATGTGAAAATCTGCAGCAGGACACGCAGGCCCACGCGGGGAAAGGGGCAGGCCAGCCAGGAGCCCCTCCCCTTGCTCCTCCTGGCCATTCGAATCCTGCAGACAGTTCTACACATCTTCATTTAAGGGAGAGCACTTACTATTCCAGCACTAAGATCATTTCTGATGAGGTTTCATAGACTTCATGTAAGTTGATGACCCTCTGATTGTCCTGGGTTAGTTCAAGGACTGCAATCTCATGAATTATTTCCATCCGGCACTCTTGGCCTTTTCTTCTTTTTCTCATGAACTTTGCTGCAAATTCTTTCCCAGAATCTTTCTTGACACACTTCCTTACCACTGCAAATTTGCCTCTGGAATTAAGTCAAAAGATGGACACTTAGGTGACCACAGATCTTCTGGACACAGAACTTTTAAAAAAGTACATCAACAAGGCCAGCCTACAAACCAACTGGGCCAACTGAGGACATATGTTCATTTCCTTGGTAAAAATTTGGGTCAGTGTCATATTCAGTAAGAGCCAAATAACACATTTAGATAAGATACTATATATTCTTAAATAGTAAAAAAAAGCATTTTTTTAAATGATCAAATTACCATCCTAACAATAAAGAATTATATCAAACTCCATCCACACCAGAGGTGACAAACTCAATGCCCCAACCAGATCACAATGGAATTGGGAAACAGTTGAGCCAAATGAAAATACAACACAACACAGATAAAGTTCATTTGTGGTTTTCTAAGTCAACATGTGGCCCACAGGGATGTTTCTATTTGAGTCCCACACACCTGCTCTACCAAATGTTTTTGCAAACAAACCTATTGTTTACAACACTAATTACCTGGTAATTTAGGTTTTAACTGGTGACAATCTTAGATCAATGCTTACAAGGATTCACTTTCACAAGGTAAAATTTCCCTCTCAGAAGTCTAAGAGGCCCTGGCACCCCCCAGCCCAATTTCAGAATGCTGGTGGCCTACCCCTCCTCTAGAAGGCACTCTCCTTACTGACCGCAGCAGTTCAGATGCCATGTTGGGCAGGACGCCCCTCCTGATGCCTGAGTCTGCCAGTGGCCCCCCTCCCAAATTACCTTGGATTGAACTACTCTGGATATACTGGGATTTATTTGCCCTCCATTTCTTTGACCTTATCTTTTTTACAGGAACCTACTGTTTCCCTCATTAGAAGGTCAGCTCCCTGTGGGCAGGACTGGAGGCCCACTCTGTACTTGTAATTCCAGCACCTCCCACGGTGCCTGGCAGACAGGGATCAGGTGCTTGGGCCAAATCTTTGATTGACTCTGTTCCTGCCAGTCCAGTGGGGTCTTCAGTCCTGAATCCTCAGCTACCCATGGACTGGCTTTCACCTGTCTATCTGACAAGCATCTGGGACAGAATGCATTTCCTGCCAAGCTGGGCCACACGCACTTCCCTAATTCTCCCCCAGTCATACCAACTGCAGGCCTGTACCTTGCCCTCACCCCCATCCCACAGCTAAGGACTGGTGATTCTACCTCCACAACACATATACCCAACCCCTTAGGCTCTTTGTTGAGCATTTATTAAACAACTATTGTATGCCAGGCACAGTCTGGTGTTGAGGGTACAAACACAAATAACAAAACAATCCCTATACTCAAAAAGAGCTTACATTCTAATGGGGGAGGGGGGAAGACGAAGACAACAAGTACATTAAAGACCTCCTACAGCAAAATAGAAATATACACACAAGGCAGCTTGGGAGGGAGGGCAGACATGAGGGGCTGGGCAATCAGGAAAAGTTTTCTGGCAAAGAGCTGGAAGCTGGGGGGGGGCAGGGAACCCATCAATTGTCAGCCCATCAATAACCATTCATGAAGAGCCGGTCAACGTGCCCGGTGTGTGCTGAGCACCAGGGACAGAGGGAAAGGCCCCGGGAGCTCCCAGGCTAATGCAGGAGGCAGCGTGCCCATAACTGGGTACAGAGGAGACCTCGGACAGGCCCAAGAGGAGACAGCCACGGGTGCGAGGCCCCGGGCCGGCCCGTCATTGACCGGGTGCGTACAAGCGGAAGAGAGCACGGGAAGGACAAGGGATACGTGACAGACAGACTGTTAACCGCGGGACGAACCCCCAAACCCGGAGGCACGAAAATGAAACGGGGCTGCCCAGCCCTGACGGGGAAGGCAGGAGGCACTGGGGGAGAGGATAAGGGGATGTGGGCTCACTGGGGAGGAGAACGGGGGGCTCACTGGGGGGGATAAGGGGACAAGGGGGTTCACAGTGGGGGGGGTAGGGGGACGGGGGCTCAGAGGGCCGGAGAGGCCCTGGGGGGGAGGCCTCGACGTGACCACAGCGTCTGTAACAGGAAGTTTCTTGATTTCTCAAGGTGGGGCAAGGCAGATCCGAAAATAAAAGTTTTTCTAAGTTAGGCTGGGGCCACATGGTGCGGGGCTTTCAAAGCGGGAGCCCCTCGCAGGACGGCTTCTCGGCCGCCCCTCGCCCACCAAACGCACCCCTACTCCGTCCCCCCCCCCCCGACGTTTTCAGAGGCATAAGGAGCACAAAGGAGGAGAGCTCGGACCCCGGGCAGGGCTGTCCGGGGGCATGCCCGGCCCGACCCCGGGGCGCCCCGACTTCTCCAGGCGGGCCAGATCCGGGTCAGCCGCCCGGACCCCACAGGACACCCTCCCCGCCGCCCGCCGCGGGCGGCCCCCTACTCTGTAGGGCCAGCTGCTGCGCCCGGAAGCTCCCGGAAGCTTCGCCAACTGGGGCGGGGGGACCTCGATCAATCCCGGCCCCCCCGCACGCTTTCCGCCCTGGGGGGCCCCGAGCTGCGGCCTGCCCCGCGGGGGGGTCTCCAGCTTTCAGCGCGCACCCCCAGCCCGGCCCGTGCCTCAGTTTCCCCGCCTCACCTGCCCAGCTCGCGGCCCGGGCTCAGGCCGTAGCGCTCCTGGAAGGGCTCCCGGCGCACCGGGGTACGGATGTCCCGCAGCAGGCCCCGCGTCCGGCCCCGCGCTCGCTCCGGGGGTGTCCCGGCCCCGGGCCCGGCCGCTCCGGCCGCCGCCGCCGCCTCCTCCGGGGGGATCATGGCCCCCGCCAGGCCCCGGCCCCGGCCCCGGCTCCCGCCGCCGCCCCGCGCGCCCCCACTCCCGGCCCCGGCTCTCGCGGGACCGCCGCCAACGGCCGCTCGGAGCCCACACTGAACCAGTCCGGCCCCCGCGCCGCCTGTGCCCCCGGCCTCGAGCCTCTGCGCCTGCGCGCCTGTAGGCCCCGCCCCCGCCCCCGCCCCTCCCGAGAACGCGAGGAGAGGGGAGGGGCGGAGGAAGGGCGCGGAGCGCGCGCCTCCCGAGGGTTGAGCAGGCCGAAGGCGAGCAGCGGCGCCACCTTCCGGGCAGGCGCCGCAGCTGCAGGGGACTGAGCAGTACAGGCGACGGCACGCGAGGAGCGAGGAGCGCGGAGCAGATTCCGGGGCTGCGGGGCCGGAAGGACGGCAGGTGCGAGCCTGGGGCCTCTGACCGCCTGAGGACAGAGGCCGGAGAGCTGCCAGAGACCCTCGGGTCCTCCCGTCCCACCCTCGTGTTGTGAAGACGAGGAAACTGAGGCCCCCGATATTGACATGACATGCGCTTTGGCCGCCCCAAGGGGTTGGAGTCCGTGCAGAGGGCGGGGAAGGAGCTGGGGTCAGCACGAGGAGAGAGCCACCCTTGGGAAGGGCCGAGGCACCCATGCACGGGATGGGAAGGGGCGCGGGGGCGTGCCTGCACCTGCAGCCCCTAAGAGCGCGCACCTGACCGGACCCCGGTGGCTCTGGGTCCCGGCGTCTGGAATGCAGCTGCTGTGCTGGCAGCGGGGCAGGCCCCCGGGACCTTCATGCAAAGGCATGGGTGGGAGACGCACGCCCAGCAGTCCGGCTTGGCCGTGGGGCAGAATGGACGGAGGGCAATAGCGGAGGAAGGTCAAGGAGCAGTCAGGCAAACGCTTGGGGATCTGATGCTGGGCAAGGCCAACTCTGGGATGGGGTGGACATTTCTGGAGCTGGAGAACCATTTGGAGAAGGAAGGAGGAAGCTCTGGTTGAAACAGAGGCGCCCTGCCCCTGGCAACCTGACAGGTGTGATCCCTATTCTTATCCAGTTGTACAACGAACTGTGACATCACAGGCCAGGGCGAGCCAGCAGGGCGTCCCTGGACAGGGCCCAGTCAGATGCTGGAGGGATGCAGAACAGGGCTTTGGGGGCAAGTCCCACTGGGGTCAGGCTGATGATGATTCCCATACCCAATCTGCAGCCATGCAGGTGGACCCCTCTGCCATGTTGTAGTGAGGAAGGTAGGTGTTAGTAGCTAGGTAACTCACCTCCCCGCCTCCAAGGATGATCTGGGCAACGTTTCTCTTCTATACCAGGTTCAGAGGGGCTGGCGAGATGCCCTGTGCCCTAAGAGCCCTAGTCAGAGGAGAGACTGTCAGTACCAAAGACAAGGCTTCTGATGAGGCTGGGCCTGGAACAGGAGACACATGGAGACTTGGATTGCCAGAGATTTTTGAAGGAAGTTTGGGCCTGCTTGCCAGCCTGAAGTTCCCACCCCCTTTCAGAAGAAGCACTTAAAAGACTGGAAAGAAATATTGGAGTGACTGCAGATTGGGTCAGGGAAGAGATGGACTTGGGAGCCATTCTCCTTAGGGAAATGGCCAAGGAGAGCAAAGTAGGAAAATGTCAGGAAACCAGCTGAGCAGAGGCAGACCCAGAGGGAGGTGAGAGATAAGGCTTCTGGGTAGCAAAGCGTTCAATGAGCAGAAACTATTAGCCAGAATAATATTTTTATCAGAATATCCTATTAGAATGTTATATTTGAATAGAATGAAACAAGGCCTGTCTGGCCAGTTTCCTCTTTGGGTGCCCTATGGAGGGGTCCCTCTCATTTCCACTCACCCCTAGGAAAAAAGAGAGCAAAATAGGAGCTCCTGGGAGATTCCAGGTAGTCTGTGGTGGACAGTGGTGGGGGCAGGGAGTTGCCTGCAGGGGCAGCCATGTCCATGAATTCCCAACCATCCTAGGAGTGTCCACATACTCCTTTGATGACAACAACTGAGTGAGTTTGACTTAGCCCAGTTCCCAGGCCAAAATAAGTACCTGTTGACTTGGCAATACTAGTGAGGTCTGGGTTCTGGGTATGTGACAATGAATGTGTCTCGGTTGTGGGTTAGACCCCTCAGTGTGTTTGGGGCACAGGGGAGAGGGGTCCTAGGAGAGGAAAAGCATCCTTTTCACAGAAGATGCCCAGATCCTGCCTCATTTACCCTTCCACACAGGGCGCCCTGCCATTTCCTCATGCCAAGCATGAGTCATAACCCCTCCTGTCTTAGGATTGTCTGTAAAGTCATAATCTTCTCTTTGTGTGCGGCCTGGAGCTCCCGCTGTTTATGAACCCACTTCTGGGTGTCCTCCAAGGTCTGAGGCCATGGATATGGGTTCTGTCTCTTTCTCTATGTATGCTCCTCTATTGAAAAGCAATTGATCCTGCCCCTCGAGGGCCATTCTGACATGGTGCCTTATGCCTCCTGCTCTTCACTTAGCTTATCTGGACATTAAACAAATAGTCTTCACTTTGACCCTGAATACAAACAACTCCCCTTGTTTAGTAAGTGCCCGGATTCCATGAGTTTCAACACGTCCAGCTTTGTGACAGCTTCTCAGTCACTCCAAGGCTTCCTCAGGAAACCAAAGGTTCATTTGTTTTCATGACCTTTTGCCATAATGGCTGTCGACTCCATCTGTTTAGTCTGCTTTTTTTCTTTTTTAAATGTCTGGTAACACTTTCAGGGTACATTTCAAATAGGAGAAAGCTAGGGTCCAAAGGTAGGACTATTTTGTAAATTTTGCTGAGTGCCGCTGTATTTGTCTCAAACAAGATTCTACACACTTGCAATTCCTGCCCCAAAGGAGTATGGGATCTTGAATCTAGGCTGGAAGGGATCACAGAGGTCAACTGGCCCAACCCCCTCCTTCTACAGATGAGGAAACTGAGTGTGTCTCTTGCTCTGGATCAACAAGGATGCGGGGAGAGAGATGAGGAGTGAACTTGCAACAATCATATATTGTCTGTTTAAAAGTCAGGCCCTAGCTCTCTGGCACTCACCCTCCTGTGTGACCTTGGGCAAGTCAGTGAACCCCTCTGTGCTTCATTCTCTTCATCTGGTAAACCTCAGGCAACTTCCAGCTCTCCCTTCATTATCCCACCATAGACCTGTGCTGTGGGACTGGGGAAGGACAGATGGCACTTTAGAAACGTCGAGGCCACTGATGGAGCAGCCGTGGGAGAGCCAGACCAGGCTATTCCAGCCCATCTCAGATGACTGGGATGTGTTCCTCTCCCCCACTGTCTACCCCAGGGAGGATGAAGGCAAAGTTGCCATTTCTCAGGGCAGCCGATGCTTTCATCTTGACTTCCACTTTGTAGCTTGCCACCAATTTAGAAAGACAGCCTAGTTTTTATCTGTGTAGTGCCAGGACTAGACATGTAATTACTTCATAATGTCTGACTCCCCCATTTACCATTTAGATGACTAGAGGATAATTAACCAATCAACCTCTGGCAAGAGCATTCCGTTCCCCTGCGGAGCTCTCGGGATGCCACGTTGGGAGCCCGAAGTGGGGAGACGAGGCAGGCCCAACATGTCCCTGCTGGGCTTTCCCACACACACATCTCCCACCCCAAGACGCTGGATGTTAGCGGTCAACTGCTGTGGAAAGAAACAGCACCCCCAACACACAGATCAGGAAAAAGAAAGTCAATGCTGACTTATCTAAGGTTTGGTTGTGAAGCTTGGCTCAGATTCAAGGAGCTTAGAATTTTCAGGTCGAGGTCGTGGTGGGTCTGGGAGCTATTCTTTTGATCTGAGAATCTGAGTCATTACTTAATATTGTTCAATAAATCACTGGACTGACTGGTTAGGCTGCATCATCGACCGATTTGAGCCCACCCTGTTCCATCCTCACCTGGGAGCCCTTCCTCCTCTTTGGAGGCTCATCCCATCCATCTGCGCTGGCCCATCTAGATATCAATGTCATGTGCTGACCCCAGAACACTGTTCTTTCTTTCGTAAGCAATTCAGCACCAGGTCCATGGTCTTCCTCTTCATCCCAACTCCCGCCCTTATCATTGAGGATTTCGGTCTTCACCTGTACAAGATTTCCTTTTAGATACCTTGGCCTCCAATCCATCCTTCAAGCCTTTAGTATGGCCCTACTATGTGCCAGGAAATGTTCTAGACGCTGAGGACACAGAGGCAGTGTATACATATGTACAGTGAAACAGGCCCTGTCTTCAAGGAGCTTATAAAGGAAAAAATCAGCACGAGGCGGTTGTGGGGTAGGGGGAGGGGAAGGGACCAGCCCTCACTTTTCTCAGCTCTCAGGACCTCTGCCTCTGGCCCCACAGGAATAGCCATCGAATGGCTCTCCTGTTCTCCTGGAATAGTCCTGTTTGACCTCTAGGTTTCAGGACTCTGACAACCCCGCCCCGGGGCTTCTATCTCTCCCCCGGTTTTGTCTGGGCTATCCATGGGGCTTCCACTCGAGTGCCAGCACATCGTCCCTGCTCTAGCCTTGCATTCCTCCACTGGTTGCTTTGATCTCATGGATTGCCAGATCCGCTCGACACTGGTCGCTACCCCAGACTTCTGACCCATATAGCTGCTCATGCCATGCTAAACATGGTGCTGGGGGTGTGGGGCAAAGTCCTCCGACCACGCTGACTGGGTCTGCTCCACACTGACACTCTCCGGGCTCAGCTGGCCACTCAGCGCTGCTCTGTTCTCCTCCCTTCTTCTCTGCTTGGTGCTTTGGGATGCATCTCAAAGTGCCTCTTCCAAATCATGTCTCCTAAGGTGTCTCTGTCACCCTCTCACTCCTCTTTCTTCAACCTAAAAACTCAAGGCTAACAGTGGAGATGCTTGTGCTACGTCCTGAATGTAAGTGGGGACAACTCTGACTTCTCAAGCAAGGCATTGACATGGTCAGCTGTGGGAAGATTGATTTGGTGGCCCTGTGACAGCACATAGTAGGTGTATAATACATACTTATTAATTCATTAATTGGTTGCTCTACCTCTTTGCTGCCGCCCTTAGCTAGGTGTTTGAAGCCATCATTGAAGGCTGCACAACACAGTCCTTGTGGAAAAGAGGCCCGTTATCTCTGGTGCCAACACTGTCAAACTGCCCTCAACTGCTGCTGATGGACAGGGAGCCCAAGAAACCTGGGAAGATGAAAACATGGCCCCCCTAATGACCATGGGATTTTTCCATCTGACTTGCAGCTAAACTCTCCCATATGCATTGTCTCCTCCATCAGAATGTGAGCTCCGTGAGGGCAGGGACTGTCTTACTTTCTTTTTGGATCTCCAGTTCTTGGCACAGAGTAAGCACGTAGTAAATGCTTTTTGTCAATTCATTCACTCATTCATCCATTCATACAGAACTCAAAGTGAAGAAGGCAATCACTGTATCCTTAGCTGCCCCACTGAGCAGATGCTTAGGAGTTAGAAAGACTGAGGTCCAATGTGTCTTTATGCACAATTTTTATAAACCCTCCTCTCAGTGGCACCAGAATAGAAGGGTGAGGTAATAATAAAAGCTCACTTTTCTATAGTGCTAAAAGTAGATGTATGGGACAAACAGCTCAGCCTGACGGAGGAGACAGTAATAATAACTGACATCATCATCATCATAACAATAACAACTGCGGAGTGCTTTATACTCATTTGAGCCTTGCAAAACCCCAATGAGGGAGGGGCTCTAATTCTCTCCATTTTATAGATGAAGAAGTTGAAGCTCAGAGAGGTGACTTGCATAGATAGGATAAGTGTCAGAGGCGAAATTTGAGCATTCTCGGTTCTAGTCCGGCACTTCACTGGGCTTGAGTCAAGATCACCTGGGTTCAGATCTTTATAAGGAGAAAAGTAGCACCTGGGGTACCTGCCTCACAGGGTTTGTGAGGCTCCAAAGAGCTGATGTATATGAGTGATTTGTCAGCTATTTTCAGCATCACTTCTTCCATCTACTGAGCAGTCCGTTGTAAGCGCCTACCACATAGTGTATTTTCTTTCTTCATCAGTCCTCACCTTCTACACTTCCCCCACCCTGGTTCCTAGAGTTCCTCATGGGAACATATTTTCTCAATGTACCGTTTGACTCCATAGCTTCCTTTGACCTCTAATTATTTCTTTTGAATAAAGTATTTCCTTCCATTGTCCTATTCTAGCCATATTCTAGTCATGTACCGAATTTCCCCAATACCTCTCACAGTGCATTTCTTTCCTTACGTTGGCATCTCTAGGACGCTCAGATCTTCCATTCTGCTTTTGCTGTTCACTGCTCAAAGACGTCTGAGGCCATAAGCATTATCACTGTCTCCTGTCTTGAACGCTGTCTCCAGTAAATTAGTAGGCTTCTCTCCAGTGTTCTTCCTGCATCTTGCCCATCTCTCTCTGTGCTCTCTGGCTTGATGGGGGTATGTGAATGGTTTTCTCTTCCGCTATTCATTTTTAGTGTAAAGCTGTCTAAGATCCACAAGTCTTCAATATAATCTTCCTAACCTTCACTAGATGCTCTCCATTCTGACCAAATGTCTGCCCTGGCTTAGGGATCCAAATACTATTCTTTTTTGCTTTTTTAATTGCTGAGACCTAAATATACAATAAGAAAAAAAAAAGAAATATAAACTTAAATATTGAAACTTAAATACAAAATAAGAAGAAAAAAAAAGCATGTCATGTGCACAGCAGAACAAATACCATTCTTTCGCCATTTCTCAACTTCCCATATTCAAGTTTCTCCTCTTAAACTCCTCCTTTCCATTGATGACATTTCTAATCTTAGATGTCTATGCATTCACTCTCTTTAGTTTCTTGCTCAGAACTTCATTATTCTTAGAGATGCTTTTTGGGTTCCTTTTCATTGCTGCATCATTTGTCTCTGGAGGAATCACCAAAATGATCCCGAATCTTCAGTTTTGATGAGTCTCAGGAGTTTGTCCTGGGCGCACACCTAGGAAGGGAGCAACATCTTGGAGGTTGGTTAGAAGCAACTTCTAAGGCCCTAGGGTTAGGGACCTGCAGTAGTCCTTGGCCTTTACCCAGCTGACGTGGTTCATTGCTCTAGAAAAACCTGACCTTTTTTTTTTTCAATAGGGGGAGTAAGCTCCCAATTTTCGAATGGCTTAGTATCCTGGGAAAGTTGCTAATTATAGGCACATTTATGGTGTTGGAAATCCAACAGGTTTCTTAGAAAGTGAGTAAATAAAAAAGTACCCCAAATACAAACATAAATCATGAATGGACTAATTTAATGCTATTCATAAGAAGATCATAGAGTGCATTACGGAATGATTAAAACAGAATCTGCTAGCTGACTTCTAGCCACTGTTACTGAAGGATGTGAGATAAGCCTCATTAAGGCTTAACTCAGCTTTGTAATTCTGCTACTTAGCCAGCCATTCCATATTCACCTCAGTTAACATTCTATCATACAGCCAACCAGCCTGGATGGTCTTTCCAGTTGGCTCTGTCCTGGAAGTGTTTAAACAGTCTGATGCCGCCATAATCCTCCCTGACATCAGCCACTGCCACTTTGGAGGACTCCATCATGGTGGCCTTGCTGGTGGGAAATGTCAACATAGCAATTTCTCTATGTCTTTCACATGCATAAAGTATTACACTAACGACAAAACATATGAAAGAGGCAGAAGCAGCCAGGGGGCCCTTGTATGAGCTGTGTCAGTGGAGTCCCTTCTCCATATAGCAAGTGGTGGCCCTTACTGTCATTATGCCAGAGGTCAAGGGAAATGGTTCTTCTCCATCCTTTGATGAGATCGCATCTTGTCAGTGAGAGGACTACATCCAAGAAAGACCACCAGTTGGAAGCTGCTGCATCTTCTACCAGGTGTGACACCCCACATCATCAGCTTTTCTGGACCAGCCACCATTTAATAGACTGTCAGCGGATGAATTAATTCTTCCTCTGACCAGTCTTTAGTGACGTATTTCCTGGTGCTACCTTTGGATTTTCATCAGCCTTTGATGGAGTATAGTAATCTGCTTTTTCTCTGTAGGGCCTAGCTCAGGAATTCTTCATCTTTTTTTTTTGTTTGTTTGTTTTTCCTGGACCACTTTGACCATCTGGTGAAGTCTATGGACCCCTTCTCAGAATCAAGTTTTTAAATGTATAAAATAAAATACAGAGAATTCCAAAAGAAATCAATTATATTAAAATATGTTTATCAAAATGTGGACTTCAGGTTAAAGACCCTTGCTCCATCAGAACAACCTCAAACACATTGTAGACCCTCAGTAGTCCAATGGCCCTTCAGAAAGTCCTAGAATGTAGGCTGTATGAGCAACAGGTGAAGGAGCTTTGGATGATTGAGCTGCTGAAGAGAAGAGGGCCCACTTGGGGCCCAGGGTCCCATAGAAGGGTCCAAATTATGAAGGGCTGTCATGAAACAGGGATTAGATTTTTCTTCTTGGCTCTAAAGAACAGACCTGGGACAAACAGGTGGATGCTGTGAGGCAGCAAATTTAGGTTTTAGGTCAGGAAAGGCCTCCTAGGATTGGGGCCACCCCAAAGTGGAATGGGTTGCCTCTGAAGGGAATGGATAGGTTTCCCTTCACTGGAGCTCTCCAAGCAGAGGCTGGACCAGCTTGCTGCCTCATTCCCTTCCTGTTTTGAAATTCTGTAATTCTACATGGTTATCTCTTCCCTTTTCATGTCTTCTAGCTGCAGCCATGTATAACAGTGAACCCACTTTCCACTACTTCTTTATTTTTGGGAGGGGGTGGAGGGTGGGAGATAACCTAAGCCAAGCTGTACCTTACCTGGTCCTCCATCCATGTACCTGTAATGCTATCATCAGCCCTGTGCCTTCGGGATAAGAAGGGATAGCCATAGACTAGATTCTTTAAGCCAGTGTAGGTCTACATCAACCTGGCAAAGAAGAAATCAGAACGAAGCCCCAGCTCTGACCAAGGTCCCATTCAGTAAGAGAGAGTGGGATTGATTACAGGCTAGAGTATGCAATGGAGAACTCCCATCTGCAGGGCAGGCAGGCCTCAGGTGGGAAGAAAAGGCAGCTCTGGAAGGTACTTAGACATAATTTACTCCAAATCCTTATTTTACACATGAGGACAGTGATGCTTGGAGACAGGAAGTGGCTTGTGAGAGGTCACACGTGTATTCGTGGAAGAAGTGGGACTAAATCTCTGCAGACTCCATGATGGCCACAATTCTGGAGGCTGGTGCTCAGTTTCTAAGCTGTGCCTGGCCTCTGGCCTTCCCTGTTTCTCCCCTCACTCTTGGGTGGCTAACAGTCTCAGGCCTTCTTGAGCCTCTTTGGAACCTACAGATCTATTTCTCAAAGCAGTTACATAGAACGGCCTGTGTTTATACTTTCACTTTGGGGGCTTTTCCTGGATGTTTCATTGTGTGATGTCATCAGATTTGGTGTTTCCAGGATCTCATCTGAATGTCTGTCTAGGCCAATTCTCTAGGATTGCTTCAGAATGATTGGGGTTAAGGACTATCTCCTAAGAGACCCATCTCTCAGTGCTTTTTCCTCTCCACCACCTTCCCCTGCCCACACCCCAAATTCTGGGAGCCTAGAAGGATAATGGCTGCCAGGAAACATTAGGCATATTTCCTATTTCTGCCACACCAGGATTTCCATGAGTTTCTTGGTTCACCTCTTTTGACCACTTGACAAAGAACGCCAGACCATCTGTAAAGCTGACCGGTTGTCAGTAGTCTCATAAACATGGTGTTAAGGTAAGGACCCTTTTGTTCTCCATTTGCCATTAACCACAAGCTAGCCCCCACTGACCACCTGTCCAGCCCTGGGTAAACACCCAAGTCCTCTTCCTGAATTCTGTGGCCCAAGCGGACCTAAGGATTCAATCTCTTTTCTCCAGTCTTTTGCACTGGCTACCCTCATGCCTGGAATTCCCTCCTTCCCCATCTCAGTGTTTTAGACCCTCTTGTTTCTTTCCAAAGGCAGCTTACATATCATACCTTTTCCACTCAAAATGACCCTGTATTTATTTTGTATCCTCATATACTCATATAAGTACACTAGTAGAAGTCTGTTAGTCAGTCATCAATTACTAACTACTCACTGCTATGTGCCAGGCACTGTGTTAAATTCTGGGGATACAAGAAGGGGAAAGTCCATTCCCTCAAGGGAAGCTTCTTGAGGGCAGGGAATAGATTTCATTTTGACTCAGCACCTAGAACAGGCACAACATAGGCATTTAGCTAATCGCTTGTTTTATTGATTTCTGCGGTAGTAGGAAGTATGTGAGCTCACACACGTGAGCACTAGCATTGATCTCTTGCCAGCCACTGAGGTGAGGGGGAGAAGGGTAATTCAATCAGCACAAATAGGCATGAACACCATGGTGAGTGGGTGAGTGGGGAGGCAAGGTGGCTTCTTACCCTAATGCAGCTACCAACAGACAAGTGATGAGAGAGTCCCTATTTGCAAGTGGCAAGAGGAGGACGTAGCTGAAGCAATGGACCCATGGACCAGCTTTGGGAATGCTGACAGCCTCAGGAAAAGCCTCCATCGACCCATGGGCCCCTCCTTTCATTCATCCAAACTACCCAAAGGCCACCATGTTGGAAACCTTTCGGTTCACAATCAGGAGTCTACACCAGGTGCCATAACAAAGAGGTTTTATTGACATTCCTTTACGGTGATATGAGTGAATAGAAGGCAAAGACTGAGTATCAGCAAAATCAGCCCCAGAATAAGGACCTTTCCTGCCATTGACTAGTAGGAAGTCTTTTTTTCTTTTTCTTTCTTTCTTTCTTTCTTTCTTTCTTTCTTTCTTTCTTTCTTTTTCTTTCTTTCTTTCTTTCTTTCTTTCTTCTTTCTTTCTCTCTCTCCTCTCTCTCTCTCTCTCTCTCTCTCTCTCTCTCTCTCTCTCTCTCTCTTTCTTTCTTTCTTTCTTTCTTTCTTTCTTACAAAACCAGAGTCGACATTTCTTTTAGGTAAATTGGAAGCTGCAGGGAATTAGGCTAACGGCATACTAGCTAGTCTACCTATACACTATCTACACGTGCCTATTTTTCTACGGAAACAAAGGGACTGTGGGACTCACTAACAAGAAAATAACAATTTCTCTTTAGGACCTTATAATGACTGGAAAATTGGTCTCAGATTTTTTTTGACACAGTATTGCAATCAATCTCAAAAACTCCAAGGTCGGAAATTGTCCAAATTAAGGAGCATGTTTGTTATAGAAAGGTCTATTTGTTTGCTTCTGAAAGTGTTTTATCTTGCCTGGAAATGGGGACTGGTTATTGATGTGTTATAGGGAAAGGGTGAAAGTTCACACTGGAAAGAATGACCAAGACTTCTTTATTTTAGCGATTTTGTATCTGCAAAAATATAATTCAGTTCTGCATCTCCATCAATCTCCACTTCATCCCCCAACAATATCCGACATATGAACTCAGGACAAAGGATGACTTTGCAAACTCATTGATTTAGAATGGAAAGGATCTCCAAAATGATTTTGCTCAATGTCTTAAGAATTTTACAGATGAGGAAACTGAGGCCTAGAGAGAGTGATTGACTCACCCAAGGTCATAGAAGTCTTACATAACAAAGCTGGGATTTGAACTCAGGTTTTTTGACTCCAGACTCTTGTGTCCTTGCTACCATCCCACACTGTCTTTTGCTAAAGATACACCCTATGAGTTTGAATTGATTTCTCTTGTTCTTTCAGAAATCATTCTCCAGTTTGGCACGGGCATCTCCTCTGTATTTCAAAACCACCTTTTGGTGATATCCACTTGACCGTTAATTTATGTTAATATTTATGTGGTGTTGGTGGGGAGAGGGCTGGCTTTGCAGTTAGAAAGACCAGGGGCTTGAAGCCTGCCTGTTAGGACACATGTGGCCAGGCCAGGTGAGAGCTCCTCATGTGTAGGGGAAAAGCAACCTCCAAAACAAGCGGGGCCGGGGGGAGGGTCATTCTGAGTGTGACATTGAATCCTACATGTTAATATTGCAAAATAATTTAATTTGGGGCTTGGTTTTAGACAAGAGAAGCTGATTAAATAAACACCTGGGAAAGGGAGTCAGGAAAGGAAAAGGCTCTTTTTCCTTGGTCCGGTTTCAGTTCTAGGGTAGTTTACTTCAGGGCAGCCAGAAATGGACACAGCACCCCCCCAAAAAAAAATCTGGGCTTTTTAACTTTGTCATGAAGGAGGGCACACTTTGGGCAGGGCCCCTTAGCTGGGGCTAACTTGGGCAAGGAGGTGCCTTCAGTACCTAGCTGGGCTTGCACATCATCCCTGAGACTGTGAGGAAAGAGGAAGGGACTGGTGGCCCCATGGGAGACCTAGAATTCCTAGACCCCTTTGGCTCCATTCCAGATTCCGATGGTGCTTGGTTGGTCCAGCAGTTCAACTAGAGAAGAGGAAGTCAACACCAAAATCTAGGCTTCCTTCAGTCACACATACTTATTTCAAACCAATGATAAAGTACAAATTTAAATAAACCCCTGGTATTCTTGAGGTGGGAGGGGGTAGTTTTTTATTTATTTCTTCCTTTCTTCACTTTCTTTCCCACTTCTCTTTACTAAGGAGAAGTCTCTTGCTGATGAGGGAGGTGGCATGCTATGCTGGAAAGAACACTGGCTTTGGAATGAGGAGACCCAGGCTGTGGTCCTAATCCTGCTTTCCCTGGGTGGTCTTGGCAAGGCCTGCTCCTTCTCTGGACCTTGGTTTCCTCATCCCTAAAGTAAGTGGACTGCATAAGATGACCTTCAAGTGTCTCCTAGCTTTGAATCTGTGAGCTTGAGGTCTTTGGCCAAACTAAGACCAATCTGTTGGTCTCTTCACTTTGATTAGAAGACACCTAACCTTGTGGGTGGCTGAATCAGATTTGTTCCTGGGGACAAACTGAAGAATGGCCAATGATTCAGTTCAGGGGTGTCCTCTGCCCTGGCCTTGCTTCTTTCTCCTTCTGGCCCCAGGATCATGTTGTCAGCTAAACAAGGGTCCTGGGGAGGAGGCACAGGGGGACCCCTCCTCTTACTCCTCCTTTCTCCACAGCATTTTCTTGAGCATCCTCTTCACATCACAGGGGAGGATGTTGGGGGCATTCCCTGAGTCCCTTAGTCTGTGCACACCGAGCGGCAAGAGGGAGGGAGGCATTGGGTTCAATCCCACCCCCGCCTCTTCCTATCTATGGGATCTCAGGGAAGTCACCAGCTCTCTGGGCTTCAGTTTTCTTACCTGTAACATGGAAATGTGCACTCGGTGTACCTTCATGTACCTTCCAGCTCTGAATCTGTGAGCCTAGGTAGAAGGGAGTCTTTGTCCATGGAGAAGCTGCCAGTGAGAATAATTAATGAACGTCACGTTTGCTTTCTGTGTCATGTGGTCTGAGTGGGCCTGAGATGCCGTACAGCAGCTCATGTCCAGGTGAAAGGCAAGACCCAAGGGCTGGAGCAGATCTGTGCTCAAGGTCTCCTCAGCAAACCCCTCACTCTCTCTCTCTATGGGGAGGTCGAGGCTCATGATGAATCCATTTTGATACTTTGTCTTGCCAGCCAGTCTGTGCGGCTCTGAAGGGCAGATATGGTCTTATATCAGTGTGTATCCCTCTCAGTGCCCAGCACAAAGTGGATGATCAGTGAATGGATTTGTGGATGAATGAGTTTTGAGTTTTGCTAAGGTTCACAGATGTCCATTGTGGTGTTTCCCCAAGCCCAAACAGCCCCTACATTGAGACAGCTTGAACCCCAGAACACTCATACAGTGGCCTGGTTACCTCTGTTCTGATTTAATCAAAGCAAAGCTATGTGTTCAGAAACCCGTCAGGGCTTGTTTGTGACTGTTCAGATGCTGAAATACCTGGTATCTGAAGTCTCAGACCACCTGAAATACTCTCTCTGCAATCACACAGTTTGGCTTTTTTTTTCTTCTATAAAATATACTGAATTTAGATGAATAATGACAAATTTTCTATAATGTGTACATTCTGATTGAGAAATGTCAATATGGCAGCAAAGTAGGCTGGGAATTGTTCAGTAACCCCATGCAATTGTCCTCTTCAACGTTCCTCTAGAGCTTGGAGAGGAGCCCCAAAGGACTTGGTACTTAGACCCAGGATGGCATCCATGGCCAGGTTAAGCCCTTGCTTGGCTGCAAGTGACTTTGTCTCCTATTTGTTTCCTTGGGTTAGAGTTGGGATTAGAAAATGGTGGGAGTCAGAGTGAAGGTGAGAAAACAACAACCTGGCATTTTGACAGGTTGGCGTGGTAGCCACTTGTGCCTTTTTCCAGTGAAGGGAAACACTTTCATTTATGACACATTTCAGGAGCTATGGAGTAAAGGGGAACAAGAAGATTGGTGAACAACCACTCTAGTTGGGATTGTTCGAAAAGCTTCCAAACCAATCACTGCACAGAAATCCCTGTCATTAAGAAACTCAGCTTACTTTGGACCTCACCAATGATTTTCTGAACATGAACTTTCCTGACCTCTGTGGATGAAATGTTGAAAGGAACTGGCCCTTCACTTTGGTAGAACTTCACACACCACCGAGACAGTGCGGTTTGACTTCAGGGACATCACAACGTATGCCTAGCTCCGGAGAGGGGCCATGTTACCCTCAATGCCTAAGTGTCAGCACCATTCTCTACAGACTGGCCTCGCTGGGCTCTGCTCCTCGGGAGATTCAACTCTGAGCAGCTGGAGATTTGCACTTGATGAGAAAAGAAGACCCATGCCAATCCCCATCCCCCCAAACAAAAACAAAACAATATAGAAAAGTTAGCCCTGTTAGAGAAGCAATCCATGGTGTTGAGGAAACAATGGGATTGTCTAGACACTGTTCAATTTGGAAGAAGCACTGACCCTGGACAATCAAGAAACTGGTGGACAAGACCCGAAGGTATGAAAACAAGAGTGAAATGTTCATCTTCCCTTTCCCCTCATTGCATTCTCTCCAACCTTTGGGATGGGGAGTGGAGCCTGGTCCTTTATGCTATGCAGGAGAATCTCCCTCTTGGGCACGTGCACGTTTGTGCTTTTCACACAGTCAGCATCCCAGCAGCCCTCCCTCTCCAGATCCCCTCCCAATAACCTGCTGGGAAGTGCAAGTTCTGTTGGTCACCAGCAAACCACAGGCATCACCACTACGGGCATGCTTTGCATTGCATCACACATTTGTTGTTGGTTTGAGAATGTCTTATTTGCACCATGTGTTTGGGTCAGTTCCAGTGAAGGGGATGGATGCCACACAGGTGGGTCACGAGTTCAATGTATAAAAATGTCAGTTTGCCAAGAGCTGTCCCTTGGATGGATGGGGTATGCAGGGGGAAAGTAAGAAGAGGGAAACAGAACTGTTGGCCAGCTCCCACTCTCGAGCTGGATAGGAGGGCCTAGGACAAACAGACGGTGGCTCTGTCAGAAGGGATGGGCACAGGAAAGCTTGGAATGCTCAAGGTGCATTTTGTCTCTAATCAGTCTGGACGAAAGTAAACATTGATTAACATTTGGTCGAGTGTAGCATAACTTGCATTTGCATCATTAGTAATGGAAGTATGCAGAGAGACGCACACAGACCTCGATAGTGTTGTTTGTAAATATTGCATACGAGCTAGCAGTCCACTGAGAACCTGGAGAGGATGGAAGCCTGAAGGGGACGTTGGAGAAGAAGGCAGTCAGTTCTTCATGCACAGCTTTTGTCAATCCTGATTTGGTTTGGAAACAAAATCATGAGATGCCCAAATTATGGAAAGGGGGTTAGAGAGGGTGATGTCAGTGGCCGGGGCAGGAGCACTCCCCTCTCCTCACTCCAGACCAAAGGTGCTGG